AATTAATCTACTGGATATGATCTGTGGTCTGTTTGATAACAGCAAGGACAAAAAATTTCAGAGAAAATGTGAGAGTCTTTTAAAATGCTGCTGGGAACTATATGATCTGTGAAGGAGGCCTTCTCTTTTTATATTTGGAGCCTGATAATAAATTGCATTGTTAAATTTCTTTGAAGAAATTTACTGGAATAATGATAAAATTGTGATCATTTATAAAAGTGTCATGTAAGGCCATCCTCTTTTTGTGGTAGGCCAATCTCATTTTGGCTTTAACAGCCACTTTTACAGTCCAATTATGTGCTATCTGAAATATTTTTTTGTATTAGTTTTGATTTACGGATTTCTTTTTCAGTAGTAGTTCCTGTGTTCCATTACAGGAATCATATATTTAATATCATTCCTTTACTTATGTCCTCTTCTGCAATCCTGAATTTTTTTCTATCCCTTCTCTTTTTATAAGGCTCTGTTTGTACAAGAGTTTTGCCTTTGTGTTTTTAAACTACATTTGGTATTATGACTGTTAACACAGGGAGGCATGAGAAATAAGAGGAAATAAAATAAATCATTACTTTTCTTGCATATGGAACATGAATTTCTGTGACCTTTCAGAGTTTAAATGTTAAATACTTTTTTTTTTTTTTTGGGGGGGAAATGTATACTTGTGACAGTTCATAGCCTCCCTTGATCTATCCTGTCTATAACTAAGATGATAACTATGAAATATTGTCAAATAATTGGTTTAGGATTCAGATAACTTTCTGATAAAAACCTGGTTTATTTTATATCTCAAAAATTGATTTTTGCTCAACTCACATGTGTTAAAAACATGTATTTAGTATTTATACATCCGGATTAGTAATGTGTGAGATAATTATTTATATTCTTTGGGTTGTATCCAGATTCAGATTTAATGATAAGATGATTCACTAATCATCTGAGCTAGAATATTGAATAGTGTGAATGAAATCACAGCAACACTAAAAATTTAATTTAAACTGTATTTTTAATCTAGTAACAAGGGGGATAAAAAGGTAAATTACTCCTACCATGAATAATAATTTTAAGTGTTAAAAATCTTCTAACTATGAATTATTTTATTATGTATTTCACATACAGTAGTCAAAGTCTTTATATCAAAAAATACTTGAATTGCAATGTGAAACCTTTCAAATAGTAGCCATGATACATATTTAAATGCTTAATATCGCTTTTGAATTGCCATATTTCTTCCTTTGAAAGAAAACAGAGTAACAGAAATGTGACAGTCAGAAATCTAATCTTGTCATTCTTCTAATATTAAAGAATGAATATTCCCTGAAACTGAGTAAATATTTCTAGTTTACAAACATGATGAAAAGTCTCTTTCCCCAGGCTGTTGAAATAGGGTACATGAAAGCTAAGAACAATTGCATAAGATCAATACTAATATTTTGGTAACCAGAGAAAGCTGATGTTTAAATTTAGGCTTGAGTGTTTATGTGCAAACATCATGAAGTTCACACAGCTCTAAGAACTCAGATCAAAAGAAGTCCAACATTGAATGAGTACACAGAGTAATCCTAAAAGAACAGGGCTTTAATTGCCATGCTAAATAGGTTAGCAAAGATTTTATTTTCATGTTTGTTATTTAAAGAACATTTTCTATCCCATAGGATTTTCCTAAGAGCTCAACATAACTTCAACTTCAGAATTAGTCTGAAATGTTCTCTTTTTTAGCAAAATGACACAAAAAATCTTTTCAATTTATGAAATAGAATAATCAATGCATGTGTTGGAGCAATGCACACAGTGCATCTCAGCTGTATTTAGATATTTTAAAAAGATTTTCACTGTTTAAATCAGTACAAGTCAAACAGGTACTGGAAAGAACAATGAAGAAAAAAAATCTGTGCAAAATCCCAGAGGACAGAAAAATGTTAGGAATCATTACATGCCTACTACTCTAGATCTAGCTATAAGGGAAGAGTACTCTTTATGTGTAAATACAAAACCATTGGTTTGGTCTTCTGCATCTTCCCTTAGTTTTGGGTTGTTAATTTAATGGAAATGTAGCTTTTTGCTAAAGCAAACCAGAGAACCATTTAATATCATCAGTCCAACCACTAATTCAGCATTGCCAATTCCACCACTAAATGACATCCCTCAGTGCCACATCTAAATATTGTTTAAATACTGCTGGGATGGTGACTCAGCCACTTCCCTGAGCTGCCTGCTCTGATCTTGACAACCCTTTCTGTGAACGTCTTAGAGCACCTTCCAGTACCTAACCAAAGCCTTCAAGAGAGCTGCAGAGGGACTTTTCACAGCAGCATCTAGTGATAGGACAAGGGAGAATGGCTTTAAACTGAAGGAGGGTAGCTTTAGATGAGATTTTAGAAATAAATTCTTTACTATAAGGGTGCTGAGGCACTGACTGCCCAGGGAAGTTGTGGATACCTCATCCCTGGGAGTATTCAAGACCAGGCCAGATCTGAGGAACTTGGGAAAGTATTCCTATGCATGGCAAAGGGGTTACAACTAGAAGATCTTTAAAGACCCTTCAAACCCAAATTCTATGACCCTATGATGATTCTATGAATTCCAGGGAATGTTTTCTGTCAGCCTGAATTACTTTTGAAAAGAGTACATTTCTGTTAGGGATACATATGGTCTTCAATTTAAAGATGGTGGAGATATAGATTCCTAGACTTGGATGGAATATTTCAAGCTATTTATTGTCAAAATGCAAAGAAGATATCCTCAGAAGAGTTTTATAAATCTGTCATGTTTTCTGGATTGTTTTTATGTTGAACAAGAAAGAACAGACCCTAAATGTTTAAAAAGAAATAAAATTAATATAATTAATTTTGACATTTTTTATTTGTTATTTGGCTTTTCAATATAAAATAGTTTGTTTCAAAAATTCTTCTATTGAAGGATAAAACCTGAAAGTTACCATTCAACCTTAGATTTATCATTTAGTTGGGGTTTTTTGAGACATATTTTATTAAAACTTAATTTTTCCAAAGAATCAAACAATTTTTAAGTGTTTTATCTGAAATTAGTGGTAATATTTTTAATTTGTGCATCTTTTTGTGCTCGCAAATAAGAAATTTACAAGTCTGAATTATATATTACCATATGCCCATGTGGGCACTCTTGGATGAAAGGTGATACTTTAATAACAAAGTATTTGGTTCATCTCCTAAATTTGGTGAAGAGTTTCTGATCATTCTCACATGCTAGATTAGATACAGCTCTGCTGTCTTGAGGGAGATGGACTTCTAAAATGTGATTAAAATTTATATTCTGATTTTCTGTGGCTCCCCACATCTTCATGAAGTATGTAAATACATGCATAGCTGAAAACACGGGTTTTAGTGTTATTCTGTGGAAGTAAACCGATATCTCAGTAGGAACAGACAAATGCTACATTAAAGCATTGGTATGTATAATTTTGAAATTTTGTTTATAAATATTCTTTATAAAATTACTCTCCCAATGTTTTATTTTATTTATGTACTGTATATTTTGGAAAATGCTTTTATTAATTTATACAATCTAACTTTCTCTTAAGACAAATTATTTTAATAAAATAATAATGGGAATATCAGGCACAGCATCATCAGCAGGCCAAGCAAACTCTTACATTTTTTGTCTTGGATGGGGGGGAGGGTAGTTTACATTTTCCCATTTCAAGAAAAGTTTTTGCCTTCCTTAGCAGACACTTGTCTTTTCAAACCAAGACAATTGTGAGATATGTGCCATACCTTTCTGAACATGTCTGTCAACAGTCTCTTAATGACTGCTTTAAGGGTGTAAACATAATGGATTGACTTCACATATCATGATTTTGTATTCTGTATCAAAATTTCTGTTGCTGTGTCAAGGTATGCACTTCTGCTGGGATTTAATATTATTACATTTAGCAATATTTGACAGCAAACATTTTCAGTGGTGTTCACTTATGTTAATATTTAATACTACTCAGTGAGTTTAATTTTCTTGTTATCTCGAATGTTTCTGATTTTATACCTTGAACTGAATTGTGAAATATTTAAATACCAAGAACTGTACTTTCTGTACATGCTTATCTGTACTTTCATTTGAAACAGATTTACATAATTTCATTACATTTGCAGCAACATAGTTTATATAATCAGAAGTACTTTGTTGTTCTTTTTTCTAATCAAAGGCAAGTTAATTAAAAAAAAATTGCTTTCCATTTAATGGCAAAAAAATGGAGCCTTCATTTTCTGATGGGCAGCCATTTGTATACTATTTTGTAAGATGATTCTATCAGAGGCAATTGATACTTACATTTTCTTTTCTAATACTTATGGTATTCATAAATTTCATAAGACTTGAATTTTTTATAGACTTATCTGGTATAGATTTGAGATCTACAAATTAAATAATTTAAGAAACAGATCTCCTAGGGAATATCTTGAAGTGTCCAAAATGTTAGTTTATTTCCAGCATAGCTAAATGCAGCTGGAAAAAATGTGGTATGCGCTTAAGAAATAATTCCTCAGGTTTTTTTTTTATTATACTTAAGCTATTTTAAACTGAAATTTATTGACTCTATTAGGAAATTATATACTTTTAATCATATTGATAATAGACTTATAAATGGAATTGCAGGTGTGAGAGTGAAGAGATTCTTCAGTACAAGTACTTTGCCAGAAAAATGACCTACGTGTAGTATATCTCCATGGGTAGGATGGAGACTGTGGCTTTATAATTTTACCTTCAAATAAGCTGTAATTTGGTGCAGACATGCAGTTAAATGAAAGTATTTTGTTATTTTCAGCAATGCAGGTATGGAAGTTATTAGCTTGTGAAAGGACTTCAGATGCTAAGTCGTCTTTGAGGCTTTTTTGCAGCATTTACCTCTAGTTCATTTTCAGCTGTAAATCTCAGTTTAATGTATAATGCCAAATATTTTGCAAGTATTTCTGATAGTGACATATAAATTGGTTGCAAATATATTCTTCTTATTGTATTTAAATTTTTTGATATTCAGAAATAGAGAAAGGAGGTTGTGGAGATCCTGGAATTCCATCATATGGGAAAAGGACCGGCAGCAGTTTTCTGCATGGAGACACGCTTACCTTTGAATGTCAAGCAGCTTTTGAACTTGTGGGAGAGAGAATGATTACATGTCAACAAAATAACCAGTGGTCTGGCAACAAACCCAGCTGTGTTTGTAAGAATTATTATATTTTTTCTATCTTACTTTTCTGACCTTAACCTCTTGCATTTCTTAACATTTGTGACTAATCAACAGGAAAATCTTCAAAGTAACTTGAAGACTTTATCCGTCATGGTTTGGTTTCTTTTTCAATTGACTCAGAAGCTCATTTATGGAGAACATCACGCAGAACTGTTTTTAGAATGTTCTTTACACTCATTTTATATGTAATTGAACCACTTAACACTCTTAATGTAAACGTGTTGAATTAGATTCTAAATGTGCTATTCCTAATAGCAGATAAGTGTTCAAAAGGACTCAGTGGCACATACACATTTCATTCTGGCAGTGCAAAGCAGCCTGCAGATCCACATAAGAAAAGAATGGGTTTTGTTTTTTGTTTTGGCTTTTTTTTTTGTGATATACCACAAAGGTCTGAATATGAATATAAAGAAGTTAAGAATATCAAACAGGAAAAGTTTAGGTAAGATCATTAGTTTTGATTTGTGTTTTAAAAAATAAAATGTATAAGAGAGGTTTGTTGATTTTTTTCAGGGGGGGAGGCATGTTTGGTTGAGGGTTTTTTTGGTTTTTTGTTTGTTAGTTTGTGTGTTTTTGTTTTTTTTGGGAGGATATTTATTTAGGTTGGGCTTTTTACCTTTTTTTTCTATCTTTCTTGTAAACTAGAGCAAATCTTTCAAGTACACAGGTATATTAGGCATTTCAGTTCAGCAGATCACATTAAATTTTCCTATAAATAGTCATGCAAATCAGTACTGGATTTGACAGCCATAAAAACCTTTGTGAGGTGTCCTACTCTATTTGGACATGTATGTACTTTGAAGCTATGTTGGTACAGGACTTAACAATCTGAGCAAGATTGCTCTGGTCCAGAATAATTCTCAATATGTCTTGCAAAGCTGAAATGTGTCTAAATAAAGGCATGTAAAGCCTAGGCACAGAGACAGTTCAGCTGCAGCTCCCTTTGAAGACAGAAGTGTTTTTTCATGATGCTGTATTGCATTGATATAGCTGGATTGCTATATCAGTTTCTGTTGAGAATGTAGAATATTTTACTATGCTTCCAGTGTTACGTATGCACATGGCCTATGAAAGAGCATGGAATCTATAACATCTATTTACATACACTGAGTTCAGTTTGACACATTTGAAGAGCTAAATAATGGTTGTCCTTTGTGTTAACTAATAGTGAGTCTATTCTCTATTCCCTTTCTGAATATACTGCACTTCTAGCTACAGTACCAGGCACAAGGTCAAAACTCTGAAACCAATTATGCAACGTCACGACAAAAGTTGGCTCAAAAGAGTAAAAAAGGGTGACAGCTGTGCATCATTTTCATTATGTTCTATGTCATCAAAGGGAAACTAGGGTAAAAAAAGTTCAGACCATATATTATTAAGATTTCAATCACATCTCAATTTCCACTGTTATTTACAGTATGAACTTTGTATACTACAGACAAAACTGGCCTTATATATTTTTTTTCTATTGGTAAATACAGTTTAATGCATATTTTGAAAAAAAAATCACTCCGATTTGGAGATTGCATCCTAATTTTAGAACAAACCTGCCATTTTTTTGCAAATTCTGCTGCATCAAGAATTACTTTCACTTTCCTTGGTATTGGCTACATGCTAATCTCTTGCATGCCCTGCTTCAGTCACTTGGATTCACTTGGGAAAGAAAAAAAAACAAAACCTTGGAGAGCTGTTCTGAAAGTGTTCAACATTTTCTGCTTGCATGTGTAGTAGTTTTGAAATTCAGGCCTCAAAATCGTTCTTTTCCACAAGAATAAAAAAAATAAAAATAGAAAGACAAGCATTTATAAAGTTTGTGTATAGTATTTTGAGAATCCTTTTGTTCTTTCGTTTAGTTTCATGTTTCTTCAACTTCACCACCCCATCTGGAATTATTCTTTCTCCAAATTATCCTGAGGAATATGGGAACAATATGAATTGTGTTTGGTTAATCATCTCAGAGCCAGGAAGTAGAATCCATCTGATTTTCAACGACTTTGATGTAGAACCTCAATTTGACTACCTTACAATCAAAGATGATGGGATTTCAGATCTACCACCTCTTGGCACATTTTCTGGCAATGAGGTTCCTCCTCAATTGGCTAGTAGTGGGCACATAGTAAGACTTGAATTTCAGTCAGATCATTCTACCACTGGAAGAGGATTTAATATCACTTACACAAGTAAGAACTTCTGCATTTTATTTTATACCTATTTATATGCTTCCTTCATAATAATTAAAACAGACAACCTATTTATATTTATAACATAGAAGTAAATTTTCATGATTGTATAATTTCAGTATTTTTAGATGTCTTCCTTGTATTTATTAGTGTATCTGATTCCTTATCATTCATTTATTTTAATTGTGATAGTGCTGAGGAATTCCCTTCATTATTTATTATTTATTTTTTCTTTTTCATACTGTGTAAATGTAGACCCCATAACTAAAGCCCAGATCATTCACATAAAAGTATCCAGTGCATGCAATTTAATATACTTTCCAATAGAAACATCAGAAATAAGTTCATAAAGGTATTAATCTTAGATCTCAAATATTGAGGTTTTAATCAGAAAAGCATAAAAGTAATCATCAGAGCAAATAAACAGTTCTGGGAACCTGCTTTGCTTTTGTATGTTTTTTTCTAGTTGAATGAGGTGGAATCTGAGAATGCAAACCCCTAAGAATAGAGATCTGTTTTCTGCATTCCACATAACAGTTCCACTCTGTGGTTTTTCTAGTGTCTAGAACAAAGCTGAACTGATGCAGAGGAGTTTCCTATAAGAATACACTAATTTAAAATCATTCTTCCATCTAGCTACTGTCCCTTTAAGAATTTTAAGAATACTCTACCCTTGAGAAGGCAATTTGCAAATGTACAAAGTTTAAGTGTAACTGGACAATCAGTCCGAAAGTTTTTAAATGTGGACCTACCAATCATGTAGATATAGAGAGCTACTAAGAAAATCATCTCTCCTGTTTGGGGAACCAGGCTAAGAAATATCTGGCCACAGATGGCACTCAGTTTTGTTTATATAAAAATATATTACTAAACAGTACTCTCAATAGAAAACTAGTAACAACATTGTCATGTAGAAAACATTTTTACATTTGCCATAGATTGATAACTCTTTTTTATGACTTTTTATGAGTCATTCAAAGACACTACTTGTACAGAAGTTATCACTTTAGCTGAAGAAATGATCTTCTAAGATTATAGAAGTTAACTGACTATGAAGTTGTCTTTGAGACCTTTTGCAATGTTCCTGTATTGTGTCAATTAAAATAATAGTGTTTGTGGCCAAGGTGTTTCCTTGCATTATTTAGAAAGATTACCCACGTAAAGCTGGAATTCATTCATTTTAATATTTTTTAAGTTTTAGATGCCTTAATTGGTCTTTTTGCTTTTATTGGAAGGGATAATTTTTCAGTTTTGTGCTTTTAAAAATGACAGGAAGTAAAAAGGGAAGACATTTCCTATTGCTTTATCATTTGGTACCTGTGAGAAGAGACAAACACTCACTTTGTTACAGCCTCCTTTCAAGTAGTTGAAGGAAGCAGTAGGGACTCCCCTCAGCCTACCTTTCTTCAGATTAAACAACATTAATTCCTTTATGTTGGAGGCAAAACAGCTGGATTTTGTCCAGAGGAAAATTTAGGCAATTTGTTCTTGTGTATCTAAGTCACATATATCTAAAAAATTCTGACTTCCAGTTATGTTGCATATGTGTGAATGTTATCGGGTTTGAAGTTGACTTTTTATTGAGAAATTTTCTATATTTTGAATTATACATTACTATGTTATATGTGTTACATATTATTCCAACTGTATTACAACTGAAATATTATTCTCCTCCTCCAAAAAAAAAACCAAAAAACAAAAACAAGATACAAAGTTTAAAGGGATGGTTTTTATTACCCCCATTATTGTGGGTTTTATTACCGGTATTATTGCTATGTTTTTATCAGCCTTTGGTCAGAATGAGTGTCACGATCCAGGCATTCCTATAAATGGGAGGCGTTTTGGAGACAGATTCCTTCTGGGGAGTTCTGTTTCCTTTCACTGTGATGATGGCTTTGTGAAGACTCAAGGCTCTGAATCCATAACCTGTATTATGCAAGATGGAAATGTGGTATGGAGCTCCACTGTCCCACGTTGTGAAGGTAAGGGCACAATCTTTACTTTGCACCTACAGTTTGAATAATGACACTATTTAAATTTAGCTTACTTTTTACATTTTGCACATAAATAAGACTACTTTACCTGAAGTTATTCATTCATCTTAACACTCTTCCAGTCAAGTGAGAGCACAGTAATAGAACCAAGATAACTTGCTTTTATATTCTTGGAATAAATTAGCATTTTAAAAATCTGGTTGCTATTGTTTACAAGTTCTGATTGTCACCATCATTACTCGTTTGTGAATTATAACTGTTATAACAGTTTTGGCTGTAGCACACTGAAGAACATAATTATTTACCACACAGGAAGTAAATCAAGCTTCTATATAGAAAATCCTTTTTGAAAATTTGCCCCTTTAACTTTCTCAGAATGAAAGTACACATGAATTTCTGTATGTAATATTATAACCTGCAGTACTCTTACTCCTGAGAAATATAGTGGAAACCAGAGCTATGTTTAATATTCATGATATTCCCAAAAATTTCCAAATTTATTTGCTTGTCCTTTTCTAGGTAAATAAACAGACTAAGATGAGCTCTACTTAGGTTTAAAACTCTCTAGAATGAAATACAGAATTTCAAGAAGAATTTCTTGATGCTTAACTGGTAGATCCTAAAATCAAAGCAGATGAGTACATTTAGTAAATGACTAAAGTGTGATTTTTTAAAAGTCATGTTCAAAATGTATACCTTTTTTTAAACAATACATACACTGACAGGCTCTAACTTAAAAGATGTTTTTGGGAGAAACTAATCCAAACCTTCTAAATCTCACATTTCCATTAATTTCAGTGTCATTGCAATTACTTAAGGATCTGGATCATACCACTTTCTGGTTATTTGGGCAATTTGTGAACTCAGTCCTCATAAGACTCTGCATTTCAAAGAAAATTTAGAAATACTGGAAACCCCCCACTCCCATGTCTGCAGTCTGTTAGAAGAAGTGTATGTGAACCTGGATGTTGTACTAGCAAAATTTCTTACCCTGACTACAGCATGTTACACAGGGGAGCAGGGTTTTTCTTTCATTCTTAGAGCAAACCAAACCCAATCCAATGCAGGGAGTAGGGTGTTGTTTTTCATCAGAAGATTTTTTTCTAATTTTGAATCTCTAAATTCAATTATTAAAGTATTCAGTACAATCTTTGTGCAATTTTTTTTTTGAAAATGCATAGATAAAGGACTGGTGCTAAGCACTTTGAAGGGAAAAAAAAGAGAAAAAAATTCAAGAAATTACTTTTACAGAAAAATATATAGGTAACCCTCAGTTATAATTTTTTTGACCTTATGGAATGTTTACTTGCTTTTAATGAGGAAAGGATTAAAATAATAGACTGGTTTGGGATATATATATATATATATATATATATATATATATTGCTCTTTATTTCTTTTATAGAAGGAAGTAGTTATGTTCAGGATATGTTCCTTTCTGATGTGGATTATCTTGATAATTGAAGGAGTTTCTGGACTTGGATTAAAGTATGGACTAAGAATCCTAAATATAATTTAGTTTGCTTCTAGTTGTCTGAGATTTCTGAACAACTGTTGTTTTTTTGTTGCTGCTCTGCTTGTATTTTTTTATTCATAACATTCTGTTAAGCAACACCTGAAATATGATGTACATGGAGAATTATAATCAGTTGAGGATCAACAGTCTTATGACTGTTCTTGTTCATAGTATGATGTAATTAAATTTAAAAGAACACAATGAAATAAACTGATTTTCTCATTAAGTATACACACCTAATGTAACTGCCATTTTACTGGCCTTTCATTTTCCTTCAAGGAAAATTTGGTGTGTTTCAGGATTTGTGGGTTGCTTTTATTTCCCACTCATATCTGGAAAAAATCCCAAGAGATATGTACAATTCATAAGTGAAATCAAATAACCTCTAATTAGTTTTTTTGTGTTGCTAAAAACATTGAAATAAAACTAGGCATATTAATTTACAACTCATAAATTCATGTTGCCATCCATTTCTATATGGCATAGTAGGTTGGTTTGTCACTATTTAGAGAAACAGAAGAAATCTAGCAAGATTTCCTGCACTGAAATAAGTAATTTTCTGATAAAGATACCATTGAGTTCTTCTATAAGGACAATATAAATGATAGTAAGATATATTTACCTGACCTTGAAAATGTTCCTGTGCTATGCTGTGCCATAGCCTTTAGTAAAACATTACATCCCAAGGCCGTGTGCCATGAGAGCTTAAATTTTTAAAGGACTCATGTTTTCCTAAATTTGTTCTGTCATTTCTGCTGTTGTTCAATCCTGCTCCAAAGTCCTTTAATTTTGCTCTGAAAAATGCTCCCTGTCTAGACCTGTCATTTTCGTAGCCCTCTTGCAATACATTTTTTTAAAAAAAACTTCTTGTGGAGGAGGATCGGGTTAGAGAACATTTAAACAAATTTGACATACAGGAATAGGTCTAATGGGATGCAGCCAAGAATTCTGAAGAAGCCATCCAATGACATCGAAAGGTCATTATCCATCAATATCTTGCAAGGCTGATTTGAACCAGGGAGATCCCCGATGACTGGAAGAAAGCAAATTTCAGTCTTGGAGAATGGAAAGAGGGAAGACCTGACAAGCTACAGGTCTCATCTCTATCACTGGGAAAGGTGATGCAACAAAACCATTTCCAAACCTTGTGCCGTGGCTTAAACCCAGCTGGAAATCGAGCCCCATGTAGCTGTTCTTTTCCTCTCCACCCCCTCCTGTGAGAGGGAGACAAAAGGCAGATATTCTGAATTGAGACAGGAAAACAGCACTGAAGTAAGAACAACAATATTAGTAACAAAGTATACAAGAGAGAGTGATTTGCATACAAGAATGTGCTCACCCCCTGCTTGACTGACCAACCAACCCAACCAGGCTCTACATCTGGGTGACCACTGAGACAAAATTCCCCCCCAGATCCTCCTGCTCACGTTTTTACACCACCCTGTGTCACATTCTCTTCTTTTTGCAAGTGAAATTCCTGACTTCTGTCCCCCAGAGACAGTGTGAGTGTTATAGAATAACCACCCAGGTATGCCCACACAGCTCGAAAATCTGCCCCCTCAAGGCTACTGTGAGAAAATTAACTCCGTCCAAGCCAAAACCAGGATAAAATGAAGAAAACTATGGTGACTGGGAGTAATCAACATGGATTTATGAAGAGGAAATCATGCCTGACCAACCTAATAGCCTTCTGCATTGAGATGAACTGTCTGATGGATGAGGGGAGAGTAATGGATATTCAGTTTTAGTAATGTGTTTGGCACTGTGTCATGCAAAATTCTCAATGACAAACTGATGAAGTAGGGACTAGAGAAGTGAACAGCTAAATGGACTGAAAACTGAACTATTTGGCTGATGGAACTGTAGGCGGTGTCACAAGGTACAACTGGAGGCTAATTCATAGTGGTGTAGCCCAGGGGTCAATCCCCTCTCCAATACTGTTTAAAATCTTCAGGACTGAACCGAACGCTGGGGCAGAATGTACTCTGAGCGAGTCTGCAGATATTGTAAAACTGGGGGGAGTGGCTGGTGTAACAGATGTTTGTGCTACTGGTCAGAGGGACGAGAGAGGCAGGAGAGCTGGGCTGAGAATAAATGACAGATCTTTTCCATCTATTCAGCATTGGTGAGGGTATGTTGGGAGCGCTGTGTACACTCCTGGGATCCACAGTGTAAGAAAAATATGGACATATTGCAGTGAGTCCAGTGAAGGGTCACAAAGTTAAGTAAGGACTTGGAGCATCTGTCATACAAGAAAAGGTTGAAAAAACTGTGCTTGTCTCATCTGGAAAAGAAAAGGCTCAGTACTCAAGAGGGATCTCATCAATATGTACAGATAATTGATAGGACGGTTTAAAGAAGGTTGAGCTAGACTCTCCTCAGTGGTGTAAAATGACCGGACAAGAGGCAGTGAACAGAAGCTGAAATACACAGATTTCTGCTTAAATATAAAAAAAAAACTTGCACTGTCAGAGTGATCAAGCATTAAGACAGATTGCCCAGAAAGTGTGATGAGTGTCTGACTTTGGAGGAAAGGCATGATCCTAACTGGACATAGTTCTGTGCAATCTGTTGTTTTGAGCAGGAAACGGACTACATGGTTTCCAGAAATCCCCTTCAGCTTATGCCTTTCTGTGATCCAACAGAATACTTACAACAGCCAGTTCCACTGAGTTCAGTCATTGCTCAAAAAGGTGTCACAGTACAATGGTAATAATTACTTGGAACAATTTCTCTGATGTTTCCACATAAATGTGGAATCATACTGTGATGTGTAAATCACGTGTGATGTGTGATGAGACAGTATCATTTTTTCAATACGATATTGTGATTTTCAACAGAAGGAGGGCTGGAAGACCCAAGTGCCATGCTCTGTGTGTTAAAATATATAGAGAGTAATAAGTCTTGATAAGATACATTGCAGGCTTTTTGAGTCTGAAGAAAACAAAGTGCTCATAATACTGTGTTAAACTATTAAAACTATATTAAATTTATATTTCTATGTATTTTAAGTTGACTTTCTGCAATTTCTTTCAATATATAATATATTAGAAATAATCTGTATATTAAAAATATGGGTTTTTTTCCTTTCAGCGCCATGTGGTGGACATTTGACAGCATCAAGTGGTGTTATCTTACCACCAGGGTGGCCAGGATATTACAAAGACTCACTTAATTGTGAATGGGTGATTGAAGCAAGACCAGGGCATTCCATTAAGATCACTTTTGACAGGTGAGTATCATAAAGACAAACAAGAAGCAAAGTCTGAGCATAAATACTTGATTTATTATTGAAGAATAAGTATACACTTTAAGAACCCAAACCACAAAAAGGAACTTCATTGCAACACTCACAATATGATTCCTACAAGTAGGAAATTAAAGCTTTCTAATGTGCTGTTTGCTTCCATTGTACTCAGCAGGAAGTTCCAGAATTTTAAGATGCTTTTTTTTTTTTCTTATTAAAGATTTCCTAGTATTTATAGGTTTATATTTATTTGCAAGTTTGGTTTTTTTTTTTTTATGGTCAGAAGCCTGAGTTTCAGGGATGTCTTAAATGAAAATTGCAGTTTTAGTTATAAGAAGGAACATTTAAATTTTATCAAAGGAAATGCATTGCCTGAAGTTGCAGATGGTTGAATGCAAATGACCTTAACAGTGTGATGATGATATTTCTGAGAAAATTAATGAGAAACATAGGCTTCTGTGATATGTGGTGCAGTTAAGGAACTTAATTTTCTGAATTTTAGACAGATGTGCATTAGCAGAATTCTAGAGTTTCGTATGCAAATTGAACTGCAGTGGAATTAAAGAAGAGCTTGGAGTTTACCCTGATATAAAATGGAGAATTCTGATATAAAATGGAGAATTCTGATCACATATAGTTTTTGAAGTACAGCAGATACACAATTTATCTACTTCAACTTTGCCTCAGCATTCTTAGCAAATGGATTCTGTTCCCATTTCCTAATTGTTTCAATTGCAAAACAGTATTACCATTCAGCCTGTTGGTTTTGGTAGACAAAGTAAAAACCTTTCCCAGTTTTCTTCGGAGGTTTATGGAGCTTTTTTGGCAGGTTTAGAAAATTGTGTAACTTTACTAGCTGATATTATAAATTGTATTAAAAGTGTTATGCTTGTTAATAATAGTATAAACTTGCTTTTGAAGTAAAATTATTTTCTTTTGTCAACATGAACACAAAAATTCCATGAAAAACCTTTTTATTGCTTACAAGAAAAACTGACTTTGCTGTCTGATACAATATTACTAAACTACAAATCAGTAATTGATTTTATCAATTAATGAACAAATAAAATATTTTTTTCAAGTATTTGGTCTAGTTTGGGGAAAATGGAACCTTTTCATATTTTACAATATGACTTGCCTCAAAGACATACCTAATAGAATGAAGCTTTGTACAAATGTGATATTAATAATGTAAATTATCTCACTCTTGAGCTAATGAAGCTTTAATGTTGCTAGACAAATGTGCCTTTCCAGAGTCCTTAGAAACTTTCCAGAAGTAGCAGCAAATGACTGCATGACCCTATGATTATTGTACATTGAAACATTTTGCATTTCAGATTGTGCCTAATGCCTGGAAGGGTAACAGAAAAGTAAAATCCAATTGATTCAAATAATGAGGAAAGGGGTAGAAGAATAATGGCTGACCTGAGGATCTTTGGTACTTTGAATATTGATTAAAAATAGTTTGATAATTTATATAACTAACCTCTGTATCCCAACATGATGAAGAATAGTATAACACAGCATCTTTTAAGTCTTTTTAAAATTATCTAAGTACATTTGGAGGACATCCTACCTCTTACTAATATGAGTAAGCTAATAAACATTAAAATAAACTAAAACCACAAAAAGTAACCCCTAATTAGGTACTTTCAGTACCAATGAAGAACTTCCAATAACAAATTGTCTTGATTTATCACTTTAGGGAAAGTGCAAAAAATAAAAATAAAAACCAACAATAAATCCTGTCCAATTCAAAAAAACAATTAATTGCCTTAAACGCTTAAAATCAGACTAGTGAATTATAAAGTCACATTTGAGTTTGACATGAGCAGGAATCTACTGGGAATAAAAATCATTGTCAGAGTAGCAACTGCTGTTAAGAGTCATTTTCTGTTTTCTGTCTTCAGCAAGGTTTTGCCATCCATTGTTGTCATACTGCCCTGCTAAGAAAACTGCAATTGCTGGCTGAGAGCATTTTATTCCTAATTATTTCCCCTCAAAAACATAACTGTCAAAATAATTGAACTATTCAATTATTGATCTTGAGTCTATTCATTATGAGTACAAATAAAGTATTTAAACCAGCCTAGCTGTATCTGTCTGTTTTCAACATTCTGCTGCAGGATAAATCAATGTATAACCTCTGAAATTATGGAAGGGTACTGAAAAACTGTCAAGCACTTTAGTGATGCCCTCTGTAACTTTCTATTTTGGTAAATTAAATAGAATCAGTGAGCCTTTTGAGACACAAAACCTCATGTGTTTATGCAGCTAAATTGTAGAAATAGTCTCCAACATGCTTCTTGAGTTTGTCAACCATCATTCTCCCAGGTAATTATCAAACAAGGCCAGGAGTTACTGTGTGCAAGCAACCATTCATAATAGGAAATTTGAATAGTATCTCCTTCTTTGAGAGGCTGAAGGATGTATTTAATAGTGTGGACATAGGCCATCCCATTCTACCTGATTTCACTGCCAGAAATGGGTCCTGAAAATGTCTAATGTATCAGCAAACCTGGAAGCCCTGCATTCCACTCTCAGAGTGGATAGAAAGCAGTAAAAGCAATCATCTGGATTTTATCCAGCTTATCCAAATAAAGTACCATAAATTTAGAGTTTTCTGTGTGAAGAACAAGGAATGATACAAATTGCCTAAGTCGGTTTCCCAGCAGTCATTAGCTCTGATAGTGGAGCAAAAGCTTTCTGACTTCTGGCTGCACTTTTGTTTTCAAGTAACTATGAGAGAAGAACTAGAAAGAATACTAAATACTTGCTAAAAATGACCTTGTTCTATATTGATGTGTCTGAAAATGTTGTACAAGACCAATGCTATTTGTTCTGTAAAATATAATGACCTGGATGGGAGCTTGGTCATTCTGTCATCATTGCTGAATGAAGTATAAAGTTTATTTACATTTTGAAGGAATGTCACATACATTTCTCCTTCCTCAAGTGTTTAATATTTTTCACTTTTCTTTAATTACAAGAACATAGTTTCTTATCTCTAGACCACTAAATGTGTCCCATATTGGCAGACAGCTAAGGGCATTCACTTTGAAAATAATACTGTATTGCATAGGGATTCTGCTGCTCTCAGAAGTTGAACTAACAAGCCTTATGGGAATAGAAGAGAAAAATATCACAACATATGCATTTCTGAAAGATGAAAATAAGAATGAGTTTGCATGAAAATATATTTAGAGCAGTATAGATATCTGTATAATAGCACAAACTTCATTGACAGGAAAATTTTTGTGTGCCTTGTTTAGATGCTACAGCATATCAGAATCTGATATAACCACAAACTGTCTTGAAAAGCATCTGATATTAAAAAGTGCCAGTTCAAATTCATCTTGAGAAAGAGCAGATTTGTGCTGTTTGATTAGAACAAGTAGTAGATGACTGCATGCATATCCATTATGAACTGGAGAAATGTGATGTGGTTTAGTATTGGCAGACACATTGACTCTGCTGTTGATTTTAAAGTTATTTTTTCAAGTAAATCAACCCTCATTAGTCTCTTTACTTTGTCTTCTTGTCTATATTATCTGGGGTTTTTTTTGCCACACTAAAGTAAACTAAAGTCATGCTTATTATAACTGTAATGAATTTCAAAATGAAGGCTTGTTTTAAATCTAGTATTTCTTACGGCTTTATTTCATAGGACAAAAATTATTACTTAAAAGTAAAGTAACAAGCTATTTTAGAATAAAATCTTTGGATAAAAAAAAAATATAACACTTGGCTATCTATAAAATAGCTTTTTCCAAATTGCAAATATCTAATAATGAAATTGTTGAGATGAAATAATGAAGTGATAGTGAAGATGTTGCTAGGGTGTCCAACTATTTCTTAACCTGAGGGAAAAAAAAATTCTTGGATCTTCATAATGCAATTTTGTGTGAGCTAATTTTCATTTTTGTACCCAGATTTCCCACTAAATATCTTTCTGAAGGCCAGTCATATGGCTCATCTTAAGTGTACAATCCTTTATGAATTTTTTACGATACCACAAAGCAAGACAAGGAAGATGATCCATAAAGCCTCCTTTAATTGTTATTTTTAGTAATACATGAATGGATTAGTAGCTATGTAATTTTTTTTGTGTATGGTATTCTTGATCAGTTATGAATGGGTTGCATTTCTAACAGTTGAATATAATAACACCATTTGTCCATCCACCAGCTGACTTGCATATTCCTTTTCAGATTCCAGACTGAAGTTAATTATGACACTTTGGAAGTCAGAGATGGGCCAGCAAATTCATCACCATTAATTGGAGAATACCATGGAACACAAGCACCCCAATTCCTTATTAGTACTGGAAATTATATGTATCTGCTATTCACTACGGACAACAGTCGTTCCAGTGTCGGTTTCCTAATTCACTATGAGAGTAAGTGTGGTATTTCTTGAATAGATTTTTATTTAATCTTGAGAAAGACCACTCAATTAGAAAATGAGCAAACAAATGGGAACAAATAAAATTCGGTAGTCATATTTGTGTTGAGAGCAAATTATGTTTACTTTATGCTGTACTGTCAGATAATTCTGGAAGTATTCATTTTGGAAATTTTTTCTTTATGAGTTCTTTTATTTTCTTCAGAGTCCTTACAGACCTAGTTGTTTAATAAGATGAAAATTAATTTAATAAACTTTCCCTTGTGGCTAAAGATATATTTTTTGGGTGTCCCCTATCTTCTAAGTTTCACTTTCTCTCTTTTTCTCTTTCTCTAGTTTTTTTAAGATTGAACAGACTTGGAAACCGTATCTATAATTGTTCCAAAATGTAAATAATAATAATATCTACATGTGAACTACAGAATCATCATAATAGCATTTTCTTTTAAATGAAGTGCGTAAAATGTCATATATTAAATGGTCACACTGGTCTTTATATGATAACACAACCATTCACTTAATTATTTACTGAAGAGAGCCTATGTGTGGTAGTGCCAACTTAGTAACATCACTTTTATCCGTTGTTCTTATTTGGAAACTAATCTGATTGCCATAAATTTGCTGTAATACTGAATATAGACTAATGTCCAGATATATTTTGTAGTCACATCAAAACTTGTCAAAATAGTAAAAAAAAGTTTTACAGAGAAAGTTTGCTAAACACTTCACACCTATGTCAGTGCATTTGCTCCATGAGGCTTCTTAAGTTAATCACAGCCTCATTGTTCATATTGTTTTTCCCTCACACTAGATTTCTCACAGAGCAAAAACTGTCTCCATTTTGCTTTGTGCTCTATATGTTCATGTAACACAGCAAAAATTTGCTGCAGTCTATCTTCTTGTACTAGTCAGCATCTGTCATCATGCTGATGTAGCATTTCTGTGATCGATTACTCTGTGTTGACAATGGTGTACACCGCAGAGAGAAAGCCATCACAGTAACTAGTAACATGGGGGTGCTAAGTAGATAAACTCAGTGTTTTCAAAACCAGGTTGAAAGACCAAATGGAAGCCTTGAGTAAGGCACACAGGAGATTCAAATTTTATTTTGATTTCTCTTGGAGGTTTCACTATAGAAGTTTTTATTTTTAAAGATATCACAACAAAACTTCTATTTGTTTCACATTTATTACATTTGTAGAAGACAAGGTAGTCAATTTTAAGTTTTAAGAAAAGTATCTGAATATTTTCTTTGGAAGTTCAAATACCTGCCTTATTTGGAAGTACCTTAAAAATTTTCCACTTATAACTTTGATGATAATGTAAATCACTGCACTGTGAAGCAGAAGGCTCCTAATCTTGCTTAAAATAAAAGGTTCAATAGAAGCTAAACTGAGTTGAATCTGAGATGGCAGTAATATTCTATTAAGCTAAAATATGACTGTAATATAGCTTTAATAAATATGTAACCCATTAAAGGTACTGTGAAGGATGTAAAGATTATTTGTTCATTCCTCTCCTTAAATTTCAGTCATTCAGCCTTTTGATGACACTTCAAGCATAGCTAATGCAAGACAGTGTAGATAAACACTTATGCATCTAAGCAAAAAAATAATGAAGTGCTTAAAATATTACTTAAGTAAAACTACTGACAAAATATGAAATATTTGTTAAAAATAATTAATCTTTATTCTTTTGGCAAGTGTGCTTCCTACCTCAATTACTTTCCCCTGATCTCTCAGCTTCCCTAGTTATGTGTTTTGGGTAGGGTTTGTTTAGCTGGTGGGTTGTTTGTTTTCCTTTGTTTATTAAAGTGTATTTGTTTTTCCTTCCTTGTATGAGAAAGGAATTTGCAAAGCAAATTGATCAATTATTTCTTAAATCCAAACACTTTAATTAAAAGCTTTCTGTGGACTAATTTCCTTCTATCCTAAAATTCAACTGAAAAATAGGTCATATTTTAGTAATGCATTGAGACAGTCATATTAGACTCTACATAAATATATATTTGATAAACGTTACAACTCTCTTACATAGTCAGGGATATGGTTTTAACATCAAAGATTACCCATCTGAGTAAAAATGTTTTTACTGAGGGTATTGAAAAAATCTACAAATCAACTGTGATTTTTCTTAAATGAAAATTATCAGTAATAAAAAGAGGTAATCCTTTATTGGTAGCATATAAAATTCGGTATTTGTTTAGATTAGGTTTCAGAAAAAAGCTTTTTATGCTCTGAAATATGCAATCTTCAGGGATTTGACAAAATGTTGAAATCAGACAGCCCACAATCAATTTTAGCCATGACAATATAGCAACAAAATACTTCCTTAGACTTTTTCTTTTGAGGAAAAAATAATGCTTTGAATAGTCTGGATATGAGGAAAATATTCACACAATTTTCAATGGCAGGATACAGTCAATGGAAAAAGATTTTAAATACTGGGAAATATTTTTTGTTTCAGCAAGCCATTTTACTATTGCTAAGAAGAATAAATACAGATGTTAAATAAAAAAGGCAGTTTTTGGGAAAGTGACCATAAAATAATAGAGTTTATGACTCATAACAAGTGAAAGAGCGAAGCATTATGGTGATTAAACTAACGGTTTTCAAAACTCTAAACCATCAAATTTGGCAGTTTGGTAGGTGAATGTCCTTGAATCCGACAAATGAATTCTGAAAGTCTGAAATAAAATAATTTGGATGAAAAGCCCAACAGAAAACTATTACATTATTTTTGGTGGTTTTGTTTTGATTTAGTTTAGTTTTGTTTGTTTTGTTATTGTTTTTCTTTGGTTTTGTTTCATTTTGGGGGTTTTTGTGTTTGTTTTTTTTTTCTTTTTGAATTTTTTTTTTTACTTTTTTGAGAAAGTAACAAGCTATTTTAGAATAAAATCTTTGGATAAAAAAAATAATAGCACTTGACTATCTATAAAACTGTAGCAATTTAAAAATCCCTTTTAATGATGTAACTCAAGAGTTAATAATGTTGGCATTGGATATATTCAAATATTACTATAGATAACAATCAAAGAATAACACAGATATCTTAGGATAAACTCAAAAATCTAATGTACATATTTATCTCCAAGAACAAGAGACATAAAGACAGTAATAAAAATATCTATAAATATATTTAAACAAGGGGGAAAAGAAATTACTCAAAAAAATTTGACCAAAAATCAGCTGTCACAGGCAAGACTATATGTTTTGCTCCTGTTTTTCAGCTTTTGCAGAAAATTATAATTTTTACCGATTACTTAACACAATTAGGTGAACATTTTCAAAGTAAAAGTAAGGCATATGGAGAGATCGTACTACACAATATTGATACGATTAAATATATTTTATTCATCAGCAACTGTAGTAATTCCCTATTCTATACTCAGAGGCAAAACAGAAGGATCACTCCACAGAAAATTAAGTCTGAAAATTCAAATCTGTAAGAAAGTTTAAAAAAAAAATCAGGAAGGCAAACACTTTTCCAAGCAAGGTTGGAGAAAAAAAAAAAAAAGAAGAAATTTGGACCAAAAGGATCAAGGACGTTTGTTTTATCTTTACTCTTGAAAGATATTAATTTCAAGCTGATAAACAGAATGACAAGAAGTAAATATTTTTATTTGATAAAAACATATTATGTCAAACCAACTTAATTTCTTTCTTGACAGCTTAATTGCTTTTGTAGATTTGGAAATGGAAAGGGAAGGAAACAGTTCTGTGCTCATATTCATAAAGCTTTTAGAAATCTTTCAGAAAAAATATAGAAATCTACTGTATCTTACAGTGCAATAAGTGTACATTAATATACAGTAGACACTGGAAAAAGTTTCTCAGAAAGGCTGTGAAATCTCCATCCTGGGAGATAATAAAAACACTTCCAGAAATGAATCTCTGCAACCAGCTTTAGGTGAACCTGCTTGAGCAGGGGGGTTGGCTACGTGATCCCAAAAGGTTCCTTCCACATTAAATTGTTATGTGATTTCTTTGATGCTGTAAAAAAATATTTTATTTTGATGACAATATAAGAACAATTACAATTTGTGGATGATTCTGACCTATGGTTATAGCAAGCACTATGACTGAGATAATTAGATTGAGAGATTTAGGATTCAAAACAAGTTAGATGAATTGAACAAAGAGTGTAAAACAAATCCAATTTGATTCTATAAAGAAACATGCAAAGCCTAAATGGGGAAAGAGAAATGACATGCACAAATACAAAATAGAAATACTATAGAAAAACATCTGGGTGCCACACAGAACTTATATAATTTAAAGAAAAATTTAGTAGTTTTGCAAAAAATAGAATCTTCTAGACATGGTATTTAACCATTTAAAAAACCAGAAGACAATTTCAGAAAATACTTTTTTTCCTGTTGTTTCTGAGACTTTTTTATCTAGGACTTTTTCAAAAATTATTTCACTTCATTTGATGCCCAGCAAGACTATTGTATCCAGTTTGTTACACAATATAAAAAGGGTAGAAGGTTGCTAACATGGATAATATGACACATAAGGAGTCATTGAAAGGTTTGTACTTGTTTAGAAAAAGTATGTCTTGGCAGGCAGGGGGTAAAGCGTGATAATGGCGTTATGGTCCCAAGTAGACAATAATTGCAGCCTGTCCTAGAGTCGGATTTACTGCCTGTGCTCCTTCTCAATTGACTCTTTACAACTATTTTCCTACCACATTTATCACTGTTGTGCCAGAATTTCTCATATCTTTTTGTAGTCAGGACTCTCAGTACTGCCCATTATTTAATTTTAGGCCATCTTCTATTAAGAAAAATAATCAAATCTTCATGCAAAGAAGTAAAAAAAAATTATTTGTTTTCAGCTGTGTTCATTGTTGTTGAAACTTACATACTGAATGTTTTTCCCTGGTAACGAAACTCTGCTGCCTGAGCTGAGTTTATTTATTTAACACTGCTACTTCAATCAGGAAGTTGGAAGTTGATAAATTTCCCATAGCTTTTGGTCTTCTTGCAAAAATGTGAAACAATGGAGTCAATGTAATTTTGAATTATCATTCAAAAAAGAAACTGATGAGTTTACCTGTTATGTGTGATTCAATGCCAAAGCAGCTGATGTGTTCAGGCAGGGGTGGTTGGCTGCCCTAAGAGGAAGGAAATTTAAGAGTGCTGCTGTGGACCTCCACCTACACAAACATATTTCAAATATGAAGTATGATTTGTCTGAAAAATTCTTATGTGTATCAAAGTTAAAATTTCATACAGATGAAATTATTAAGGGCAATTACAGTGCACAATATTATAGACTTAAATGGGCTCATTGAGACTATATTAAGCAATTTTATCCAGGCGAAGGGAATCTAAAAATGCACTGTGTTAGCTAACACAGTGCATTTGCATTAAGAGTATGCAGCCAAGTCTGGAGAAACTTATTCGTCTAGAATTTAAGTATGTCAGGGTTACCTCATGAAAACTAGATCATAAGCTTTCAAATCTGAATTCTAAGTGAGATATAAGAAGAGCTGGAGGGTACAAAGAATATTTCTCTGTGAAAGCTAGAGTCATTATTTATGATATTTTTATTTGTAGTCCTGCTATAGTTCTGAACCCTTCACTTTATGCCCTGATGAATCAATTTTTCTCTTAGTTTTGAACTCCTCCTACTTTCTTCCTAAGGCTGTATGGTAGTCCTGGATAAACAGGGCAAGGTAGAAGCAGTAAACTGAGAGCACAACTTCCACAGAAATGGTTAGAGATGCACAAGCAGCTGAGAGGAACAGCACCTTCTTAGCCCTTTAGAGGGCTAAGAAACTAGGAAATGCCTGTGAAAAAGGCAGTTGTGGTGGAGTAACCTTTGCTAGATCCCAGGTGCCTAAATCTTAAAACACCTTCCCACTACCCCTCTGTTCTTCTCTGACTGAACTTCACTTTCAGTTTTATCCACCTCCTCCTTCTGAGAGGTGCAGAGGGACAGGGCATGAGGGTTGTGATCAGTTTATCACTCATTATCTTCACTGCTCCTTCCTCCTCCAGCACTGGATTCCTCCCCCAGGAGACAGTCATCCACAAATATTTAAAATTTGAGTGCTTCCCATGATCTACAGTTCTAAATGAATGGCTCTGGCATGAGATGCAATCTTTTAGGAACAGAGTGCTCCACAGTGGGTCTTTCACAGGGTCACAAATACTGCCAACAAAGCTGTTCCAGTGTGGGCTCCTCTCTCTACCAGGCCACAGTTCCTACCAGGAGCCTGCTCCAGTGTGGATTTCCCACAAGATCACAGCCTCCTTTGAGCATCCATCTGCTCCAGAGTGGGGTCCTGCACGAGCTGCAGGTCCATCTCTGATCCGCTGTGTACCTTCATGGGCTGCAGTATGACAGCTTCTTCACCATGGTCTTCAGCACGGGTTGCAGGGCCTTCCAAACCTTGAACACCTCCTTCCTCTTCTTCTTCATTGAACTTAGTGTCTCGGAATTCTTACTCTCACATTCCCACTCTTCTCTATGGCTGCTGGTTCTCTCCAGCAGCTTTTGTGGCCTTCCTGGCTATGTTATCGCAGAGGCTCTACCACCATCTCTGAGGTGTTCAGCATTTGCCAGCAGCAGGCCCATCCTGATGCCAGATGGCATCGGTTCTGTTGGACACCTGGGAAGTTTATGGCAGCTTCTCACAGAAGCCACTCCTGTAGCCACCCATCTACTAACTAACACATGGCCATGCAAGCCTAATACAGGGGTGACGGTGATAGGGTATTTTAGTTTTTGGTTTTGTTTCTCACCATCTTGGTCTATTATTAATTGGTAATAAATTCAATTATTTTTTTCTCAAATTGAGTCTGGTTTGACTGTGATGGTAATTATTAAGTGGTCTTCTTGTCTTTCTCTTAGCCCTTGAGTTTCATCATATTATTTTCTACCTTATTCTCTCCCCCTGTACTATTGAAGGGGGTAATTAGAGAGCAGCTGAGTGAGGGGCTGACAGCTAGACAAGGTCAATTCACCACACATAATAATAGAAAATAAAAGAAATTCCTGCCATCCCAATAGACAGTCTATTTTTTTCCCTCATGTGTATACATTATTGCTCATTATATTATTAAATTCCACAATCATTTGCTATCACTAGAAGCACAATGTATAATGTTCAGTTAATGAGCCTTCATCTGATAAATTGAGGGAGATTTTTTCAGTGGATAGCTCCAGGTTTATTTGCAAAATACTATTTAATCTCTCTTATAAGACATAATTATGGGGGACTCTTTCTGTCAGATAAGTTATACAATTGTGAAAGCTATATTATTCATTTTTGGTTTTGTTTTTCTTTTTTTCATACATAGGATAATATCTGTAAGAATTCAGTAGTTTGTAAGCTCTTGATTACAGTTTTTTGACATTGTTTGTTGTTGTACCAAATAACCATAACTGTGCAGAGGACAATTGAGTTGTCCTGCACTATCAGAAACAAAATAGATGAAATAATCAAATATGATTTATATACTTGCAAAATTTTTACTTATACTTTGAAAGGTAGTATCTTCCTATAGCTTCAGATGTCCAGTGTTTTTTATAGGTTTAGTGTTTTTAATTGATTGACAAAATATACCTTTAAGCTCCAGTCTTTTTCTATTTCATTTGGACTTCTCTATTCTATAAAACTTAAAATTGGAAAACTGTTCCCTGAGTCAGAACAACAGCTAGAGACAGGGTTTTATATCCCTTATCAATTCTCAGGTAATGGTAACTAGGATCTTTTGGAGGTTCTTTCTTTCTCCTGTGTTCCTCGTTTTGTGTTTTGTTTGGGGTTTTTTTCTGTCTGCTATGTGAAAAAAATGAAAAAACAAAATTAAATCTCTGTGTTTCAGGTGTTACTCTGGAATCAGATTCTTGCCTTGACCCGGGAATTCCTGTGAATGGCCATCGCCATGGTAACAACTTTAATATCCGCTCTACAGTAACCTTCAGCTGTGATCCAGGATATACACTGAGTGATGAAGAACCTCTCATATGTGAAAGAAACCATCAGTGGAATCATGCATTACCCAGCTGTGACGGTAAGTGTCAAGCTCTCTAGATAGCAGCTTTAAAGTCCACAAAAGCTAATCTACTGTTTTGCAGAACTAATTAAGCTTGTCATTGCTATTACCTCCCTTCAATTACAGCAAGATCCACACTTTTTAAAAATTATTTTACTGTTATTGAAAGCTATGCTTTACATCTCTTTATCAGCTTTCAATGAACTGAAAACAAACAGGCACATATTCACAAGCAAAAAAATTCAGATTCTCGCAGGGTCACTGTTCAAGTGTGAATCAAAATTTGCCATATAACTAATACTTTCAAAACAATGCCAATAAACTTCATATATTTTTTAAACTCTAATAATGCATACCAGAATGATTGCTTAAAATTTAGGATGCTCAATACTAAAACAGATAAATCATGATCATGTTTTGGTGGATTTGAAGTATGAAACTGTCTAGAGCTTCCATAAAACATTTTTCAAAATGCTGAATTACTTCATGGTTTAACCACAGCCAGCAACCATGCCTCACACAGCCACATACTCACTCCCACCAGCAGGATCAGGGAGAGAATCAGAAGGCTAATAGTGATGACACTCCTAGGCTGAGATAGAGTTTAGTAAGAAAAGCAAAAGCTGCGCACACAAGCAAAGCAAACCAAGGAATTGATTCACTGCTTCCCAAGGACAGCAGGTGTTCAACCATCTCCAGGACAGCAGGGCCCCACGTAATTGTCACTTAGGATGACAAATACTATCAGTCTGAACTTCTCCATTTTCCCTTTTTCTCCCCACTTTATATACTTAGTCTGATGCCATATGGTGGGGGGTATTCTTTGGGTTAGCTGTGGTCACCTGTCCCTGCTGTGTCTCCTCCTAATCTCCCACCCACCCCAAACTTCTTCACAGCTGTGGCATATGAAAAAGTCTTGGCTCTTTGTAAACCTTGCTCAACAGCAACAAAAACATCTCTATATTATAAACCCTGTTCACAGCACAAATCCAAAACACAGCCCCATACTGAGAAGAAAATTAACTCTACCCCAACCAAAACCATCATAACTGTATTCACAAATGTTTCTCTGTTCTTTTTTGTAGTTTTTTGGCTAAGTTTTGATTCTGTGAACCACTGAATCAGCTTAGTTTCTTCATGGAATCCTTGTATTGTTGCTACAAAATTCCTCATATAGAAACCACAGAACAGCAAAGAAAAGCTCTTGCTTTAGTGAATTACTTACATTAATGTATTTGTAACTTGCTTTTCAGGTCCAAGGTTTTCATTGATTACAATGGAATGTCAGAGGACAAACTTAGAGTTAGATTAAGCAAAGTATTTTAGTTTCTCACTCTGTTTTAAACTGTTTTGTTAAATCTGAGCACTAGTCTTCTCTTTCTAACTCACTACAGCCTTCTAGCCCCATGGCTCAAAACATATAAACCATCAAAAGATTATTATAGAAATCAGCTAATCTAGAATTAAAACTCACTCACCTTGTATTCACTGCACCTCATTCTATCTTTACAAGTACAGATTCAAAGCATTTTTAGAATTTTTCACTGTTTATATGGGTTTCTTTCCTTCTTTGCTTCCCCTTGTTGGATTGACATATGTGAAGGAACCTTAAGTTTGGATAGTATTCTCTTCTTTTTCTATTTACTTTGTAATAAAATGTGTGGATGTATTTTTGAGCTAAAATATCAATATATAACTCTTTTGTTGGAAACTGAAAAATAGAAACTTCTGCAGATGCTGAAGGGTTCAGTCTCCAGCCTTGGAAAGAGCTTGGATTGATGTAGTGATGAAAGTACACAGACATTGGGTAGAGAAATTATAAATTTAAGTCTCTATTGTTATAAGTAAGAATATGCCTAAAGTAGGTAAGACATTATATTAGGTAAAATAGTTTGAGGTTTAAACTGTAGTAGTGTGATTTATAGAGTAGATTAGAGATCTAGAAACTATAACAGAGGTGTGTATGAGTACGTGACCTGTCAGCTTAGTGGCTAAGAGAGAGAGGAAGTGCAGCAAAATTAAGCAAAGGTGACAGGTTAATAAGTGAAAACAAGCTTTGTGTCAACTGCCTATTGGGCTAAAATGTTATATATTGCTGTGCAAAGGAGAAACTCATGACTTCCTTGAGCTATGGCTGACGTTGCCTCTAAATCTCACACCTTGAGATGATATCTTATCTGGCTACTTGAGCAATAAATCATCTCAAAGCAAGGTGGTCCCATCCCTCCTTCGTCATCTCGACACTCTTTTATTGGCATATGAATGTTGAACTTCAGGAAGATCTAGTTAATTTTCACTCATTGAAAGAGATTTTTTTTCCCAGGTCCTTCACCCACTTTCATGTGAGTGTATGAGAAAATATCAAGCCTTTCTGGAGTATGATCTCTAGGCACGCAACACACAAGGGTTCAACATACATTCACTCTTCTTCTTTTCCTCACAGATTAAACTCCATTATATTAACTAGTCTAAAATCATGGAATAGAGCTCACACTCTATTAGGTAATCATTCTGTTAGTGTGTTTGCCTTTTGATTCTCAACAAGCTGTGACCCAAATTTTTGGAATGTGACAGATTTAACTGAGGTGGAAATGAGCATTTTGCACTCATCTGTGGAGTACTGATGTTCTCAAAATTTTAACTTCAGAAATAAATTTAGCAGAATAACTGCCTAGGGGAAAAGCATGTTGCTTTGTTTCATGCCAACAAAGAAGAAATAAACCTGTGTACAAATACAAGGTGGTTAAAGTTCCCTCTAAGTAATGTGTCATTCTCAAAATATGGTAATGACAAGGTGGAACATGAAAATAATTTTTGAGGGAGAGCTAAATTAAGCCACATCAATTTCATATTTTTAGCTTTTTTTAAAATATGTAAATGTTTTTGAAATGTGTAATACCTGTTTAAGTAATGTTGAACAGTCAAATAATTTTCTTCCTTCTGTGGTATTTACAGAATAAGATAAGGATTTTTGAATGAATGTATTACTGTTCATTTATGGCACTTTATACCTGATGTCTGTACTGCTGTTTTTTAATATTAAGTATTGTTATCAACCATATATTTACTGTGGGTTTAGTCAAGTGTGTTTTAATTCATACTTGCATGCAGAAATAACTATATTTAGGTAAAACCAGGCTGGAAGCATTTATTTTACTTCAGCTTATAAGTATATATATATAAGTTACATATATTTAAGAAACATTAAAAATTTTAACAAAATCATTAATCTAGTAATAAATGAAAAAAAGGAACTTAAGTTAAAAGCCAAGTATATGTATATATATACACACATCAACATAAAGGTACTGCAAGTTTATTAAATATTTTGTCATGCATATTTTCCATCCAGTTAATGGCAAAGTATATCGCTCTATGTGAGGAAGAAGACTAAAAGCATCTTAATGTTTTGTTGCTTTATTGTTTAAATATTTATTATATTAAAATTTAAATAACACAACAGCATAAAAACTGGACAGCAAGAGATGAGGGAAAAGCACAGTCATGCTGAATTTATAAGATCTGTGAGCAGTTCATCATGCAAATCTTAAACTTTAATTAATTTGCTATGCAAATTTGAACAGACTAGTTTAGCAAATTCTAGTATGCATAAAATGTTTTCTAGCATAGTTATCATGTATTCCAAAATATTCAATTCCAAATAAATTACTTATGTTGGGACAATCTAAATCTTTGAAAAAGAGGAAATAACACTTTTTTTTTCCCCCGAGTGTTGCAGTAATCATCAAACATTTACTTATTTGAAAAAAATGTTCTTTTTCCTTAAGTATTTTTGTTTTTTAAAAATGCAGTTGAATGTATGCCTTTCAAAATATTTAGTGAAAGAAAAGTAACAGCAAGATATTATTTGAGTTACTTCACAAAAAATACCAACTTATTTCTTCCATACTAATGCAATAGCAATTAATACTTGCAATAAAAAGTTTTATTTATTTTTGTATTCTGCTAACTAACAGGAGAGGCTGCAGATGGGAAAAAACCTCCCTTTCAAGGGCTGATTTAGAAGAAAACAAATTGTTGTCAAAATGAAGGTTGCAGCTTTGGTTTAATTAACTTCTTATTTTAATTCTTGACTCTATTTTTAATTTTAAGTGTAGTTAAAAATGAACTCTCTTTCTGTCTCTCTCTCTCTCTCTCAAACCCTTTTACAAGATAGGCTTTTTTTTATGACTTTTTTTTGTTTTTCCTCTTAAGCTTTATGTGGTGGATATATTCATGGGAAGAGTGGAACGGTTCTTTCTCCAGGTTTTCCTGATTTTTACCCAAACTCTTTAAATTGCACTTGGACTATTGAAGTGTCCCATGGCAAAGGTAAGTATCTAATATGTTTTGCCTATATCTAATGTCTGTATGGAAAAAGAATCACACACACATAGCTAAAAAAGAAAATGTCTTTTATGAGTTAAACCAGCACTTTCTGCCATTCCTTTGAGGAAGAAGTTTATCTTCCAAAAATTAATATCTTCAAAGGTGGAATTTCCAATTGGTGTTTATTTTTCAAAGGAAGAATTCTTTTTAACAGCTACCAGAGGCAATGTGATTTAATCTCAGAAAAATGGAAAATAGTAGAAGAGATAAAAGATGAGAAAATAATAGCTACTTGTTAAATATCTCTAAATTTATTTCAGTCAAAAATGTCAGGACCTCGTTGATGGCTCTCCACTATAATTAAGCATAAAGGGACAGATTTGATCTGTGTATTGGTAACCTTAGATTTCAGATTTAAGCCATTAGAGCAAAAACTTATATTTATCTTTATGTTACATATACAGTAGAGCAATATTTGAATGCATAGTTGATCTGTCATCTTATCCATTAGGGTAATGTGTAAAATAACCTAAAGAAAAAAGCCCAGAGAGTACTAATAATGTGTTACATACCATTAAAGGAAAACATAATAAAAATGTACTGAAATGTATATGGGAAGTTTCTACTTTTTAAAGTCTTCTTAAAGACTGTATTTTTTTGTTTAAAACTCATAAGACATTTTAAATGTAAAATATATGAGAAAGTGTGCTAAGATGAATGTTGTTCCTCACAGAAAATTTATAAATTTATCTTATTTATTGTATTTGAAAATTTATTGTATTTGAAAACTGAACTGTAAGCCAAAATTTAATTCATTACTGGATTAGAAGTTGGCAAATGAAAAAACAGTCATGATGTCAGGTAAAGGATCAGTCCCAGAAAATATGAATCTGTATTTATGTAAGACTGTACATAGAACCTGTGTATGTTTTGTCCTTGTATTTGGAAACTTCCCTGAAGTTTAGAATTAAAAGTCAAAATTGTGTTGGAAGAAATGCAAAAATCAAGCACAAATACAAAATTTTCTGAGTGCTGTATAAAAATAGCACTGAATGCCATTGATTCTGCTATGAGAACTATTGATTTAAAGTGAGCTAAATGAGAATCCACATTGCACATATTATTCAGTTGAGCTCATGTGCTTACTGCAAACTTTATTTTCAGAATTTCAACTTTTGATTCTTACTTTTTCTCTAAATATTTCTGTGTAACATAAGAATAGCTTTGTGTCACATATTAAAGAATAGAAAAACTTGCTATTAAATGCTTTCCTTTCCTCTCTTTTTAATTCTTTTAAAGGTGTACAGCTGGTCTTCCATACTTTTCACCTTGAGAGCTCTCATGACTATTTGCTCATCACTGAAGACGGGAGTTTCACAGAACCAGTAGCCAGATTAACTGGCTCAGTCTTACCCCCTACAATTAAAGCTGGCCTCTTTGGAAATTTTACTGCACAGCTTCGATTTATATCTGATTTTTCAATTTCTTATGAAGGTTTCAACATAACATTTTCAGGTAATGAATTCCATTCTGCTAAATATCCTGAAAATGTTCCAGATGATATTTCACTTCCAGGTAACAGAAACATTTTGAAACACCATAAAGTAAAAAAAAAAAAGTTAATCAAAATTGTATAGTCTCTATCACTGAAAACGGGTTAAGGTTTAAAAAGGTGGACAAGAGAATTGAGAATGTTGGTGATTTGACTGTTTTAAGTTTTTCCTGTTCTCATAGAAACATTAAAATTGTTACAAAAGAAGTTTGGAGGAAAATTAAAGAGAAAAAATTATGAAGGTAGAAGGTACTGCTTCAGAAGAAAAGAGCTAACTTATTCTAAAGTATAGAAACTTTAAAAAATCAATGGTATGCTTACTCAGATTCACAAAGGACTCTAATTTGAAGACTGACTTTGAAATAGAAAACATGTATATAAAACACTTATTAGCTACTGATGTGTTTCTACAAATTATATCTTTAAGATACATGAAGCATTTGTTACTTCTTCTAAAACTAGATGACATCTAATGTACATTTCTCAATAATTTTCTTTGCCTACTTCCATTACTAGGAAGTAGAATTACAGATGAGCATATTGTAGCAGGGCATCTCACGCCCCAACAAGAGCTCCTCTGTTGTTTGTTAGCTGGTCAGATAACTCAAACAGGATGAATTGTATTGTAGTGAGTTATTTTGGCACCAGAGCCAAAATGGCCAGTGGTGTGGCGTCTCCCAACTGCCAATAAACGTCTTACTTTTGAAGTTAGGTCTGGAAGGTAAGCTGGATTTCTTACTGACAGACACCTCACTTACAAACTAGAAAAGCCACACCAACTTTCACAAAGCAGAAATCCCCTATACATGATCCTGGAAATGTGTGGTTTCTCCCACGAGTAGGGATGCTTATTTTACAGTTACTCCTCAGGGGTTAAGTGAAGAAATATGTATACATTATTGTATATTATGTATATTATGTACATTTTGGTGGTAAATTACAATAGTATTATTTTTTTTTTTGCTAGCTTTAATTCTAGATACCTTGAAATAGTGCACTGTTTTATGCTAGGCTGTAATCTACTAGTAGTTCTTTAGTTGTGCACTGTGTAGTAATTCTGATTAGGATCATTGGTCTGTTATCTCTGTTTAATAAATAATTAATTTTTATAAATAAATCTGATTTGCCATCATTAGAACTTGTGGACCAGAGTAAGTCCTTAAATTCAAGATGCTGCTGCGCTCTGAGGGTAAGGCAGGGCTTAAGAAGCTAACAATTGTCCCACGTGTGTCCCATGACACACATGAATGAATGAAGTGCTAAATGAAGTGCACATGCAGATGCATATTTATGGAAGTACATAAGGAAATCACATCCAACTCTCCTACATTGTTTTTCAAGAACTGGAATCAAATAAGTTTTGTTGAGAATTGGCAATGTTTACAGATGACCACGCTATTTATGAGTAATGTATCTCATTTAGCTTGCTTATTTAAAAAAGGAGAAAACTACCGCACTGAGTAGAGCAATAGTGTTGGAGTTACTCCTATTGCAAAATGCTAAAATGCATTAATTCTGGATACTTTGGACTCACCAAAGTAGAGGTCAGCAGTTTTACAGATTTGAAATGTAAATACAAATATTAGTTATTTCTCTGAAAATTTGTTTATCACTAAGTCAAAGGAGTAGAGCACTAGCCAAGTCGTAGAAAAACACACAAAATATTGTGGATGCAGGAGAGAAAATTGTTCAGTAATGAAAGATATGGATCACAGAAAATTTAGAATACAGATGAAGGATTATGGCCTATCTACTACTACTGCATACAGAGCCAGAATATTCCATCATTTATATTAAATATGTGATTCTGTTTTGTACTTTCACACAATCAGAATACATTTCTTCTTAGTAAGAAGTTTTTTAGTGAGAACACCTGTTTTGAGTTTCATCAAATGTAGAAATTTTTCATTAAAATTGCCATGTGCCCAAAGGCATGCTACAGGGTATCTCCATGTCTAGCTTAACCTCTGCAGTACTGAGAAGAGGTAGTAGATCATATGTTTTCTAAACTTAGAACACTTGCCAGCAGGAACTGATGCAATTTATAGGTTGCCTCTAATATTCAGAACTTTCCTACAAAGCAGTTATTAAAGGGAAGGATTTATTTATTTATTTTATTCCATATAGCAGCTGTTTAAAGACTCACTCAGAAACTTTGGTTTAGATTCTTCCCTAACTAAATGGAGTTTCTTCCTCTAAGTAAGTAGATTTGACCCTACTTGCTGCTAACCTCCAAGGTTAATGTTTTAGAAAATATTTTTCCTAACCTATTTCCCTTGCCAGAAGGAATCTCTTGGGTCTTTTGGATCATATTCTGAAGAATATAAGATCAAACCTTTTCCATTAGATGTTAAATTGTTCTCCTTCATCATCTTTTTTCAAAGTAGTTGGTAGTGGATATCTAAGGGAAAAAAATGATGAGAAAATGGTATAAACAAAAAATGATACTTCCACAGCATATTCTTTGGAGATCTGGAAACGGGTGGCACATATATTTTCTGAGTTTGATTTGCTTCCTATGTAACAGCCCTGATTTTTTCCCTATTAGTCTATTCTGACAACTCCTGAATTGTTCCTGATGTGTAGTTATAAAAGCACACTTTTTGAAAATGTGTTCATATGTCTTTCATTCACCTAACCTTTTGTTTGATTTTTAATTAGATTTTCTTCATTACATAATGATTTCTTTCAACTGTAAGTCTCACTCCTAAAGCTGTTTGGGAGTTCAGATGAAAAGAAACTAGAATTATATACAAAGGAAGTAATTAAACAAAATTATAGTAAACCACTTACAGTACAAGCTGATTACAGCTCTTGAAATTAAGAAAATAGATGTAGTGTGGGTAGGACACATTAGATATATAATTACTGTATATATAGGCATAATAGAGTTATAGAAACAGTATTGGGTTTTAGTAGAGAACACAGCTCTGAAATACATGTTTTCCAGCTGTTCCATTCTCATACAATGAAAGCAATTTGGTAAATTTGCTTTTTTCTGTGTGGACAACTTATCCAGATAATAATATATTATGTTTTATTGTCTTCAGAATATGATTTGGACCCATGTGATGATCCTGGTGTTCCTGCCTTTAGTAGACGAATTGGTTTTCATTTTGGTGTTGGAGATTCCTTGATCTTTTCTTGTTTCCCTGGATATCGCCTGGAAGGTGCTAACAAACTCACCTGCCTGGGAGGTGGCCGGCGTGTATGGAGTGCACCTCTGCCAAGGTGTGTGGGTAGGTGGTCACATGCTTTCATTTCATTCATCAAATCGTTAATAGCACATGGCATGTGTCAGAATGCTGGGCAGGGAGCAAATTGCTTGGGTTGAAAGTTGATCCCCAAGCTGTAAAAACTTTTAAGTCAGTGCGAGATATAAGTAATGCATGTCTCTTTTATTTAGGGAACAAAAAATAAAGAGGAATTATTAGAATTATGCCAGTATATAAGTTCAAAATGTCATGTGGGATAAAATGTAAAAGATATTATTAACCTTTATGTTTGAGACAGTTAAGTTATAAATGTTATACTTTGTCTTTTGAAGTAGAGAAACACTGTTTAGAGCTTTTAGGCGAAAATACCCTACTTTAGAGCCCTGCAGATGGTTTGAAGGGTCTTTTTTCCATATTTTGTTGTTATTCTTTTAGTTCTAAACTTTTGGGATTTTTACAGCTTATAAACTACATCACAGTGTTTTTAAACTTTATTTTTTTAAAAATTAGTGTGCTATTGTTAAACATCAGTAACTATGAATTCAAATTGAGTGAACAGGTCTTTCCTTGGAAAAGCTCTGGGACTGTATATTATGAAATTTGTGCAGTTGCTGCATTTGTGAGATGGTTTTATCTCCACCATGTCAAATGAATCTCATCAGCTGCTATTGACATTATGCTTCTAAAAAGTCAAATACTTCCATATGCCTCTAAATGGATTTCCTTAAGAGGGTTCTTGTTTTAAATAAGATTTTATTTCATGAACGAAGAAACTTAGCTTCAGCTTCTTTCTTCATTTATTTTAAAAAGATGGATCTCTATATCTGAAAAAGTCACCTAGATTGTATATGCATGTAAAATACATAGAAAACATAAAGTATTTCAATTTTTTTTTTTAAAAAAATGGGGTTATTTATCCCATGATGAATGGATGTTACAGATGAAACCAAAATAGTATAGAGTTTGCCATTTATTTGGAAATTCTAGATTTAAGTCTTACTCTATCTGCAGCCCTGGGATATTTGTTTGGTTTGGGTTATTTGTTTGTTCATTTGTTTGTTTGTCTGTTTGTTTTGCTTGGGGTTTCTTTCTTTCTAGGGGGCTTCTCTGTGTTCCACTCAAGCACGTTCAATTTATTTTAGATATCAAAAAATTATAGTCATCTGCAGAAATATTGTTATCTTGTGCTGAAGAAAAGAGACATTCTATATGATACAGGTTTTGAAAATTTTTTTAACTTTTAGAAAGCCTTTCCTTCAGTATCTATAGTAATAAGAGATTCATACCTGATATCTTCAGAATGCTTGCTTAGTTATCCTCATATTGTGAATTACACATTGAAAAGTTGCAAGGATTATCAAAGTACCAATAATTGGCTTAATGAAGTATCAGCCACTCAAGTGGCTGGGAATTTATAGGACTGACCACTTACTGTGCCAGACACAGATACGCCTGTGTGTTCTCCAAAGCATAATGCAGTGATATACATCTTATGCATATATGTCTGACATTCATATTGAAATGGAATTTATTTACAGAGAGCCCAACATTTCCTTTTTGTTCTTATGTTTAATTCTGAGTATATTTGTTGACTGGCCCTGAGACACTTATAGCACTAAATGTCCATGTATGAGATCCTACTTTCTAACCGATTAGTAGAACTTTTTATAAAATATGCAAAGACAACTGACAATTCTCTAAAGTAATAATCAATGGTATGGCTTGCATACAGCAAGAATCATGGCTTTTAAGGCCAAATATGGGAAAATAACTTTTTGAGCTGCTTAAAGCTAATAAGAATAGAATAATATTATTATTATTATATTAGCTTGTCATGAGTTTACCTTGCAAGAGTGCTTCTCGCTGTTCCCAATAGAGCAACACCCCGCTCTGCACCAGGGTTGCTCTCATGCATATCAGAGGTTTCACCACCACACATCCAAAACCCCTCTTCCCCCCCTTCTTTGGGGGGGGGTGCAAACCTGGCCTCAGTAAAGCACCCTGCTATGGATGCTAGCTTTGGAACAAGCTGCAGGGAGCTGCAGAAACTGCAGGCCCATGGCCTCTCAGTCTTGCCTGAGAAGCTAGCCTGGGAATTCATGGGAGGATTTCAAAACAATCTTCAGAGACAGAAAACAACTGCCAGGTGCTGTTTGTCTATCCTCTTGTTTTTCTTGAAGGAGAAAGTCAGGGGGGTGGTGGGCCCCACTGACCAATGATGGTGATGTAGCACTTTGCTAACCAATAAGAGTTTCCTTTCTGTATTTTCCACGTATCTGTCTATAAGACAAGCCTAGAGCAATAAACTAGGAGAATTCTCCTGCTGTGACTCCCTTAAGAGTCAGTGTCGTTCTTTCCCGCCGTTCCCAATCAGAACGACACCCTGCTGCCTTTTGCAAATGAATGATTGTTTGAGTTATTAACCCTTAACATTACAGTCTCTCATAAGAGGGAAGAAACATCTGGATTTGTTCTTCAACTCTCCTTTATGTGATTGTCTCAAAAACTATATTATTTGATTCACAAGCTGCTTTGTCTGCTTGTCTGCACTTTCCCTGCTCACTACCTCTTTAAGAAACTGTTTAATTTTACCTATGTATGACACAAAATGAAAACATTTTTGGTGCACTACACAGTGTACTATATTCATCTCAAACTAGCCTTTCATGGTAAGGATTCAGCAGAGTTCAAACACAACATATCAAAGAATATTACTTATTATTATCACATAGTTTTGAGTGCTGGGTCTTTTTCATTTGGTTTGGATTTTAACCTATGTTATTTCTTGTCCCCTAGAAGACATTTCAACTGTATGGAATTCCTAAATCAAGTTGTGAAAAACTTAAATGAAAAAGCTGAAAAGAAAGCGCTCCTATATATTTTCATTTCATATTTAAGTCGTGTTGCTCCTTTATTAAATTGTATATGGCACTTGACTTTTAATAGTGCATTAATACAGCATTGGAGTAAAATCTTCACTGAGGTATTGCTCACTGGTATTCACATAAATATCATATTAATTTATCATATTCAGTTGTTCTATTAAATACTACTTGAATAATTGGTAGGATGCTACAATAAAGTGCTGACACCATATAATAAGCTGTTTCTTTTTAATAGTTTAGTTAGTATTCATTTCAAAATCATCAATTGTAATTAATATACTCTGTCATGTTGTAGCATTGATTTAATTTCCAGTGAGATTGAAACAAGTGGGAACCCTGTTAGCATGAATAGCATGGGAGATTTTTGTGAGACCCTTGAGATCTGACATTCATTGTTTTCTGTAAAATCTCTGTAGCATAAAATCTGGATTTGAGTTCACCTGTAAGAAGTCAAACTAAGTCTGAAAACTACTTTTCATTTTTAGCTAAAGTTTAGGCAGAGAGCTCTCATTTAAGAGCTGTTTATGAACAAGAAGTCTTATATGACATCAGTAGATGAGTCTCTGAATCTTCAGGAAAAAACAAGGATGTTCATGAATTCAGGATCCACTCTATTTCAGAATTCTTTATTTAAATGCTATTGCATTTAGATTGTTAGGTCTATAGGCTTTTTTCATTTTTATACAATGTATTTAATAGGTATTTGATGTTTTTACTCATTTCTGTTTCTTTATCTTAAAACATTGCATTATTATAAATACAATTAAAAGGTTGTGTTATTTAATCCCTTGTTTTACTTTCAGTTTTTCACTGAATATTGAAGATTTGCTTAAGTTAGTCTTGGAGTCTTACTGTGTCTGAATCTTTAAAATATGCTGTCATATAATAATTACAGGTTTCTATCTGAAATAATTACAGGTCTCTGTCTGAAAACTGAAACTTTAATATTCTGGAATCACTACAAATTTCAGATGGTACACCATGGGTAATCTGATTTTATTTTCAGAATGAGGAGTGACTTGTATGAGACCTCAATTACCTTTATCTGTGGCCTGGTGTGAAATATTAGTCACCTATAGTTAGAAGAAATAAAGATTGCCTCAAGTCACCCTTTTGCCTTCTTCTATGGTTTAAGGTTATGTCTGCTATGTCTTGTTCCTTGCTAAGACAAATAATGTAGGGATGTTATGTCCAAAGCTTGTTATCAGATGATACTAGAAAGACTAGACGAAAATCTCGACAGAATTTAAATACAAAAAAATGCCCATACCTTGTTTTGTGCCAATAATCCCCTGAGGCCAATTAACTTCATAGGATTTATTTTGAGAATGAGTAGTGCCTTTTTTCAGTGGCATATGGATTGAGCTAATTAAGGAAACCACAGAAAAGGATTTGTCTGCTGTTTAGGCCTTCCTTTCCAGCTCCATTATTCTGTGCATTTGAATGGTACAAAAAATACAGAATAAGAGGTTTTTACTTAGCGAAGCACTTCAGTAGGGTTTTCACTTAGGCTTTCTAACCTCACCACCATCATACTGATGTTGCTTAAAGAATATTAAGAGAGGCTGACATGAACATGATTTAGTAGTGCAGTCCACAGCCCCTGACCTAACTTTACTTGAAATCTATCTTAGAAAAGCAAACAAAGAGAAGAAAACCAGGGAATGCCACTCCTCAGGCACCAACTGGTAAGAGTAAGGAAAGAATCCTCAGACAAAAAATTCTCTCCAGTAAAGGTAGTGGTGACAATAATAATGATAATAGTAATGAGAAAAAAGCCAATATTTTCTTGCTTTCTCCCTGGTACAGTTATATTTTTCATGCAGACCTTCTCAAGATCCTCACTGGTAGCTTATGATACTGTTTACATCAAATGGATCATGTGCAGGTGCTGCAAATTAAATAGTATTTAATGTGATATATTTGTGCATATATTTTATTGTGTAATATTTATTGTGCATTAAAATAACTATTAACTGTTCATTATCTACAAGGTTCTATTCAAGTATGAAGTTACAGCCTAAACAATACAATATCTGGAGTGATGTGGTCTTTGTGTAGTTACAGGCTAAAATTACAAGGCAAAAGAATGAGAAGTGGGATGAGAACAGTGTGATTTAAAAATCGATGGCAATCCCT